AAATTTATTTTAAAATATTTGAAAAAAAATGTTTTAGATTTAAATTAAAAGAATAATTAAAGTAAAAAAAATAAATAATCAAAATAAATAAAAAATAAAAAGAAATTAATTTGCTTTAATTAATTGAATTAAATTTTATTAAATCAGATCATAAATCAGATTTAATTTTAAAAATCTATTGAATATTTTTAAAAAAATATTATGTAATTATTATAAAAGTATTATTATTAAATAATAATGATCATTTATAAATTAATTAAAAATTAATTAATTAATTATATATATATTTTTTTGTAAAAAAAAAGAAAATTACTAAAAAAAATTAAATGTAAAATCTGAATTTATTTATTAAAAAAATAATATTTAATTTATAAAATACAAAAAAATTTTTCTTGGTAATTTCCTTCTTTTTATTGTAAAGATTCATCTTATTAAACTATTAAAGTTTCTTTAAAATAAAAAATGATTATTTAATATATAGGAAATAGTGTATATTGAAAATTATCAAAAAATTGAAAAAAATGCTTTATAGAAAATAAAACAAATTTAATACAGTACATTTAATTATTTTTATTTCATTATAGATAAATCTTAATAGTATTTTATGTAAATTACATATAAATAAAAATTTTAATGTATTTGATTTTTTTAAACTTTTTATTATTAAAAATAATGTTAATTTATTAATATATAAATTTTTAAAAAATTTGATAGAAAATTTAAAACAAATTAGGTTTAATTTTTATTTTAAAAAAATTATGTTGAAATTTACTATAGCAATATTATTTTTAAATAAGAGTTTTACTTGTACAACTATATTTTAAGAATACCATATTTATAACCTTTTAAAAATCAAAAATGATGTTATTTTAAAATAACTGATATATTAAAGAAATTTGATGCAACAAGTATCTTTTCTATTTCAACTTATATTTTAACTTTATTGTGCTTTTTCAATATCTATATATTTAACATTAAGTTCGGAGTTAGTCATAAATATAAATGGCTATTCGTCACCTCTGCGTTTCGTTTTTAACAAATAATTTTATTGGTCACCCTTATGTTTCACGTAAACCATTCATATTTTGAATTGGTTTTTCGAAAAAGGAAAAAAAAAGAGCCAAAAATAAATAAGTTTCAGGGAGGGAAGTTACTCAATTCCCTTGTTTTAAAATAATGATAATATCACTTTTTTGGATATTTTAATATTTTATTTATAACTGTGTAACCCTAAGTTCCCCGTTTATTTAATCTTATCTTTAGATCCTTCAGGTGGTAGCTTGAAACCACGTGCCTCCAGTTTTAATAAATCAAGTAATCAATAATTAATTTTGCTTTTTAATTTTATTTTATTTTTTTTCAAGGATACGATCACATTCTCTTGGAAAGCGATTGCTATAATTACTTACTATTTTTGAGAAACGCGTGAACTTACTTAGTCGGTAAATATTTTATCAAATTTTATTTATACATTTGAATTGATGATGATGATGATCAAAAATTCATTGATTTGAATTTCCAATTTCAAAAGAACTCCAAAAACGGGTACATCGTCTCGTTATTCGCGCATCACGTGCTCTGATCACAAAATTGTTTCATCACCGAAAACGATCTCTCGTCCTAAAAATAACCTAATGTTGCAATCTCGGAGTTATGAATCATGACGCGTAATTGCAAAAAAGTAAGATAATAGCCGCCACACAAAAGGAACATGGCGTGCAATTACATGTGGCGTTCATCACGGATTTTCTGATTTTACACCCGTTTCTTCTTTTGAAACAATGAAAAAAAGGAAATTTGTTTATCGTAAATCCGTGTTCTGGCCTTTCATTGAAACTTTTCTATATTTCACTGAATTGGTAGTTTATCTCGGAGAATTTTCTCCTGCATCACAAGAAACATTTTTGGTGTTTATTTTTAGATGATAAGAACCAAAATATGACACCATGAATGCATTAAAACAAGAATTTAAGTATGCGGGTCATTATCAAAAACAATCGTATATTCGTTCATTAATTGTGACATAAATCTATTGTTTTTTTCGGTACATAATTTTTTTTTTTTTTTTACCGCCAAAATCTATTTATCAAATTTTTTTAATTCAAGGTGCCGCAGTTATTTCTAATTGCAGAAACAAAAAAATACCTTTTTTAAATTTTTTTTTTAATTTTTTTTTTTTATGCATTGAACCAATCATTTTAACTGTAAATTTCAACATCACATTAAGGATCGTCACAATAAATGCTTATAATTTCTCTGAGATTTCTCAGAGATGTTTGACGATCAAATGCCAAGAAATGGAAATTTCCAACCTTCTAAAATCAATAATTTTATCATATAATATTACTCAATTTGGGAGAACATAACAATTTTTTTATCATTTTTATGTGACAATATACAAATTGTGTACCACCGGCTAAACTCAATTTTTTATGACACCAATGAAATTTTAGGGAGAACAATGTTCATGAAACTTTGTGATGAATAAAAATGGGCGATCACAACCCAAATATATTTCATTACCAAATAGGTAAAAACCTTCAGGGTTCATTGACCAAGGCAATGTAAAAAAAGATCTTTCTTTTGTTTTTTTATTTAGCAACACCTTCGATCATTTACTTAATTGTCATTTCTAAAAAAGTAATCGAATTTCAAGCGCATACATCATCAAATGTTCTTAACGCGAGCATTAAAATCGTGTTTGCCTCAACTCCGTCATCTCCATTGATTTTGGTTACTTTTGAAAAAAAATTATTTGTTCAAAAGATTGTTATTGTTGTAATTTAGCGATTACTTAATCCGTACAGTTATACATGTGTCAGGAACAAATTAGAAATCAAGAGAATTTGAACACGTAAGTTCAGCAAAAATGGCACAGTTTAAATATGACAAATATGGCAAGTTCGTCAAAGAGACGATATTCCGGTCATGTGTCAATAATAATAAATTGATGTGTTATGTAATTTATCAAAAATATATATATATCATATAAAAGTGATAAAAGTGATATATCGATTTTAAAGTAAAAGTATAAATAATTTATATTACCCGGTAAAAGGGAATTCATTAGAGAAGTACGAAGAAAATCCATCAGCCTTATAAGCTGACATTGTAATTGTCTTGTTAATTTGACAAAATGTTAATGTATCATATACGTCCGGATATTTGATCCAATCCTTATAAATAAGCTTTTTGCAACATGAGCAAAATTTTGAGAAATCATCGCTTCTAGTTGCATGCTTTAACTGTTAATACACCATTTTAGTTTGTTTTTTTCACTTAAATCATCCGAAACCAAAGACCCTCTTTTTATTCGCTTCCGATAAAGAAATGGTGTATAACCAGCAGCAACGAGGATACCACGTTTTTTACGCGAATGAAGGTTATGATAGGACAAGCTCTATCTATACCGTTTCGTCTAATGTTTCCATGATTCCGCCGTCGCCACCGGAACCAAACGTACCGATTCGCATCGATACTTACGAAAGGGATGAACTAATTGTATATTCTTCGAACTACAAGTTCACCCTTGGAATCGAAGAACTCATTGTTAACTCTACCACTTCTCGGAGAGCAACCCAAGGTAAAAGATCCGAACCGCCACGTCCTCAAAACTCTTATATACTTTATTTGAGAGATACAACCGCAAGGATCAAAAACGACCCGGAGTTTATCAAGGAACCCATAAAAAGGATGACAAATGTCATAAGCGAAATGTGGAAAAATGAGCCACAAAGCGTCAAAGACGTATTTGAAGCATTGGCCAACCTGGCGAGGAAACGACACTTGAAAAATTATCTGGGTTACCAATACAAACCGAGAAAATCAATGAAAAAAAAATCTGTCAATGAACAAACCCTTCTTTCGACAAGCATTCCCCCTACCCCTGCGACTTCGGTATCTAGTTCACCGACATTACAAAACCTAGATTTGAATAGCATATTTGATTTGGATTCATACTACGACAATTCAAGTCATGATTCACATGTCAATTACGTCAGCCCATTAGCTGTTCATAAAGATCCTTCGAACGCTTTTTAATCCGTGATCACCTTTCGATACCCTCTCACATTGCATTCGGTCAAAATTTATTGTTTTTTCTTTTTTTTTAAGATTTAAGTTTCGATTATTTAAGATTTTTTTATGCGTTACCTTCCTTTTAAGAACATAAGCAAAAGCACATTTACGAGAGAAGAGAAATTTTTTTTTTTTTTATTTTCCCCCGATAAAAATATGCAAAGATTTATTTATTTTTTTTTTTTTATAATAATAAAATATATGCGCATTTATGAAACAAATATGTTGTTTTTGTGAAAGCTAAAAAACTTTTTTTTCTGTGCGAGGTGATTTACCTTAATAATCCGAAACAGTACGTGTGATTCAATGTGATACCATCGATTTTGTCCATAAGTAAAGATAAAAAGCGCATTCATTCCCAAAAAATATGAAAAAAAAGGTTAATTAAAAAAATAAAAAAAGAATCAATAAAAAAACCTAGAAGTCGCATGACACAATGTAATCATAATAATCGAATCCTTAAAAAGAAAATGGGATTCCTAAAAGAAAAAGGTTTTTTTATATTATGCAAAATGTATTAACAGTATTATGCAAATCTCCCAAAAAAATCACAAAAGCTTTTTTTTACTGCGTTACAGAAAATAGACAAAAGAAAAAAAAATACGATTTTTCTATAAATGTATCCCAAGAGTTCACCTAAATTGCACCGTTCAATTTTGGAGTTTGGATTCTTATAAAATAGAAAGAAATTCAAAAAAAATCTCCAAGAAAAATTTCAAAAACTTTTTTTTTTCTCTCAACTCAAATTCAAAAATGACTAGATCCAAATTAAACAACCCAATTAACCAACACCAAGGGTTTCACGTCTTTGAGGTTAATCAAGGCGGTAAATCCAACTTTGTCAGTTCAAACAACGAACTGGCACCCCCAAATCCCAACAGAACGATTTCTCTTGGTAACACTTTAGACGATTATCAAATCGTTTCCAATTCGAACTATCCCTTCGCCCTCCCCCTAAGAGTTCTCATTGAAAATTCCAGTGAAACTCGCCGTGCAAAGAGGCAAGCAAAGAAGGGCATTTGTAAACCCCCGCGGCCTCAAAATTCGTTTATGTTATACCGTAGGCATTTGAGCGCAAAATTTAAGGCTGAGAAAATGAAAGCAGCGGACCGTTCAAAGGATTTTGCCACCATGTGGAGAGAAGAGACTGAAGAGGTGAAAGTCCTCTTTACCGCTCTTGCCAGGATAGCAACGGAACGACATAATGCGTTATACGAAGATTACAAGTATCGTCCGAACACTGCAAGAACAACAAAAGTAAAAGGCAGTAAAAAACAGGAACAAAAAAGTCAAGAATGACGATGATTCCGATACTGATTTCATCCAAACGTCTGATTCTGAATTCGCTACCAATTCAGAACAGTCTTCACCGGGTTCCTCCTTTCTCGACGATCCTCGTTTCCCCATCGATGATTCTTCACCAACGAATTCTTTTCCCAACTTGGCCGATTACACCGATTCCTCTTTTCTCGAAAATCCTTATTTCCCCATCGATGATTCTTTAACAACGAATTCTTTTCCCAACTTGGCCGATTACACCGATTCCTCTTTTCTCGAAAATCCTTATTTCCCCATCGATGATTCTTTACCAACGAATTCTTTTCCAAACTTGGCCGATTGCACCGATAATAATACCGTTTATCCGTACACCTTTGAACAACTTCTTCTTCTTCAATATTTTGACCAAGATCAATATACCAACGAAGAACCACCGTCCTCTGCTGAAGTGGAACCTTTTCAAGATATTACGTATCTTGAAGATACATATTTGTCGTTTCTTCCAGAAGAGGATCGTGAAATTGTCGCCAGAAATCCTCTCTCACAACCAGAAGTTCCTTTCTTTGATATGGAACAAACCATACATCCTCTCTCACAAAATTCAGAATTTGATCAAACCGAGTTCATTTAAAATTTGATTTCGTTCAATAGTTAAACGATAGTTGTATTTTTGTTTTTTTTTAAAAAAAAAAGAGAATTTAAAAATATAAACGAAAATGAAAAAAAAAAAAAAAGAATTTAAAATATAAACGATAGTATATATAGTAAAATTTACAAAAAAAAAAAAAAAAAAGAAAAAAAAAAAAAGAAAGAGAATTTAAGACAATTAAGAATTTTATTTTTTTTATTTACCCTTAAGATTTATGCTTTAAGATTTTATTTTTTTCATTCCATTCAATTAAGATTCATTTTTTTTATGCCTTAAGAATTCCTTCCATTAAATTTTTTTTATGCCTTACCAAGATTTCAACAAAGATTTTCCTATCCTTAAGATTTTAGTTTAAGATTATTAGAAAATACGAAAAAAAAAAAAATTTATAAAGCTTTCCAAGATAAATGCATATAATAAAAAATTCAATTAATCTAAAAATGGTATTTTATTTTCAATGACATTTGTATAATGCAGTAAAGATGAAATCTTCGATAAATTTATTCCTAAATTAAAGCTAGTTCGTTTACTTCAACTTAAAAGCGATTTCGTTTTAGGAAACAGTTCATAAACGACACTTCATGTTATCGCACGTTTATGCAAGGTATATCAAACGAGCCATGAGCGTTCTCCATGTTACAGCGGTCCTTATCCAAGAACCGGAAAAACTTCATTTTCATCATAATAGCATTCAATAAATACAAATATGGACATTGATGAAAAAGTTTGTAACATCATCACCCTTCTTTATTTAAAGTAAACAATAAGCACGGATCCTTTTTTTTTTTTTTATTTTGAAACCCAAACGACGCGCCACCGCATGCGCGAGTTACAAAAACTATAAGGCGCCCATTAGGATCTCTTTAGTATATATTTGTACATATTACATATATTACAATATTCTATAAAGCATCCGCGTACTTTATTGTTAAAAAAAAAAAAAAAAAAAACTATAATTAAAAAGTATTAAATTTCTGTTGGTTAAGCTTTTTTAATGAGGTAAAGCATCTCTTTCATAAAAAGAGTTTTTCCAGATCTTGCATAAATTGTGCTACTGCTAAAATAAAATTGTTTCATATAATAATTAAGTTTCCAAATCAATATCTTCGGAATCGGCGGAGAATGGCAAATAATTCAAATTTCCTTTTTTCATCAAAAAAGAAAAAAAAAAAAATCTTTCAGAAAAGGAGGTATTTTATTGTAAGTAAAACAATTTAAATGTGATATTTTCGAATATAAAAGTTACTTTAAAATTTTTCATATGAAAGGGGAGAGATATATATATAAAAAAAAAAAAATTTGCTTTTGCGCACAAAAATAATAATAGTAAATCTGATTACATAAAAAAATTATGGGTTTCACAAAGAGCTGCGCGTTCGGAAAAACTCAATTTAATTATCTTTTGTTCAAATTTAGTATCATCAAATAAAATAAAGGTAATTTTCCTATATAAATGCTTTCTCATCGACTTGTAAGAATCTTTGATAGATCCTCGTTTTTGTTGTTCGTTATAAATATCTTTTTAGTCTAAATATCCTTATTCCTTCCAATGTTAATGAAATATGGCTAAAAAATCTAAACAACAACAATTACAAGGATATCACGTTTTTAACGTGAACGCCTATATCGGTTCGAAAATCCCCCCATCACCACCACAACCGAATAGGTCCATTCGCATTGGGAAAGAAGTCATTAGCGACGAAGAATTGGTTCGCTCATCAAGGTATCACTTCAACCTTGACATTGACATTCTCTTGTCTAATTCAAATACGACTAGGAAAGCCATTTATGATAGGAAAAGAGGAATCTTTAGACCACCACGACCTCAAAATGCCTTCATGCTATATCGTAGAGATAAGTCATCCGGTCCCGAATTTTTCGGACTAAAATCGTCCGAAGCATCAACGATTATTGGTATTATGTGGAGGGGCGAATCGAAGGAGGTCAGAAGTCTATTTGACGCCTTGGCAAGGTTGGCCGAAAAAAAGCATTCCGAAAAACACAATAATTATAGGTATGAACCCAGAAAACCGTCTGGTCTACCTAAATCAAGGAAAAAGATAATGGAAAGTAATGATAAGAATTCTACTGTCAAGGTCACCAATTCAACTCCATTACCTATCGAGGTTAATAACCATATTGACGGTTCTGTTGAGTTAAATCAACATCTTTACCTCCAATACCCCCAACCATCCTTAAATCCATGTTTTTATGACTACATTCCCATCAAGTTCGACGATAAAAAAGTTAACGTAACGGAAGTTCCTTCCCAAACATATAATGAAAATTATTTCGATTATTCTGAATATCTTAATCTAGATATCTGCGAAAGTGACTCATAAGCTGTTTTACTGAGACTTTACAATTTACACCTTTTTTTACCTTTAAGATTTAATTAAGTTCTCTTTAAGATTTTATTAAGAATTTTCACCAACTAAAAATAACATAATTAAGAAAATTAAGAAATACTTTTAAGATATATATTCTTTTTTTTTTTTTTTTTAAAAAAAAAAAGATAAATGCGATGGCGACTTTTCTGATGTTGTAATATAATAAATCCTAAAAAAGGCAAGGCACGGTAATACATTATCATTCCACGAATTCCCCTGTCACATTTCAAAAATATCTCTTTAAATGTCCCATTCCCAAGAATCACAACTTCATAATTGTGTCTTATTAAATTCACTCTTTTATATTTAATGTTAATATGTATCAATATATTACTTTAACAAATTTTTATATTTACGTTCTCTTCATCTTTTCATTGTATTAATTTCTAAATAAAAAAAAAAACCAAGTAAATTTAAGTTATAAATAATTCGAGTGATTGTGATATTACAGGAAAATATTCAGATTATAGGAATTTTTTTTTTTAGATTGTGATGTTAAAACACAAAATAACCAAATATAGGACAACAAGAACAAAAAACAATAGCAATGATTTGTTACACGGGTTACACGCATCATTTATATTTTCTATTTTATGCTGCGGTATTATCTCATTAAAACGCATTAATTAACATCCAAAGTTATCTTCCTTGTAAAAATATATTTGAGAAAAAAAAAGTTTAATTTCTCCTCAAATGTCTCATTTTTATTTTTTTAAATAGACAAAGCTTTTGTTTTTTTTTGTCACACAACTGAGAGCCTTCATTATATATAATACACAAAGCTTTATTTTTCCTTTTTTTTCCTTTTGGCACAAGGTTTATTTTTTTTTTTCTTAAAAAAAAAACTCAAAGGTAGTTTAAACAAAAAACAGTTTCTTTATTACAAACTGACTGAAATATTTTAAAATATGGAAGCTCAATTTCAAGTACTTCGCTTTGGAAACGAAAAGTCCGATGAAGAAATTGTCTACGGTTCAAGCTATCCATTCGTTCGTAATATAGAAACCCTTATAATGAATTCAACTGAGACCCGAAGTGCGAAGAAGAACAGGAAGAAAAAAATAATCGGATCCCCCCCACGACCCCAGAATTCGTGGATTATTTATAGGAGAGATACAAGTGCTAAACCAGAATTTAAAGGAAGAACGCCCCAATTTATTTCAGCTGAAATTGAAAAGCTATGGAAAAATGAGAGTAAGGAGGTGAAGGAATTGTTTAAAGCATTATCAAGATTAGCGTTGAAAAAACACCTCGAAAATTATGGTAAAAATTATAAATATAGCCCAAAGGCCAAAAAAATTAAAAAAATTAAAGCAGGACAAAGACAAGATAATAATAAACCAAAGTCCAAAAAAAATCAAAAAGCAAGACCAAGACAAGATGACACAAATCTTGAATTAACTTCACCTCCCACTTCATCTGACGTTAACTCTGAGTTTAGTCCGTCCAATTTTGGATCTCCTTCTTTTATGGAAATGGATTTTGAATCACCACTTTTATCTGACGTCAATCTTGAATCTCCTCTTACAACCGACTGTAATCCTCAAGAACTGGATTCTCCATTTCCAACCGACTTCAATTCTCAATCTTCATACTTATCCGCCGACATTCCATTTGATTTTGTATTGAATTCCCCATACGAAGATCCTCAGCTTATGATAGACGTTTCGCCGCAAACTTCTGGATATGAATATTCTTATTCGTTGAATGATATGAATATGATGGGTGCCGCGAATTTCGCACCGTTGAATTCCATTGCTCAAAATAATATACCATATGGATATGTTCCCGAAGGTAATTAATTTAATAAGACTGATATTCATCAAATATTCCTTTTCACAATTACAAATTTTTTTTTCATTTATAGACAACGTTTTACCATTAGACCCAACAAATTATGATAACACAACTTTTCCACCACCACAACCTGATATATCGCAACTGATTAGTCAGTTGTCCGACGAGGAGTGTGCTTTGCTTTTGGAGTACTTAAAATCCGATGGACACATTTCCGAAGAAATATCACCTAATCAATCCGACTTCAATTTACTCATTCCTCATTCCATCTTTTTTGATTTACAAGATTCTAGATCTCTACAATAGTTATTCTGTTCACAGTCTTCGCAAAGTGTTCACCTTTAATCTGGTTGGACGATGGACCATTTATAAAACAATCAATGGTCCATCGTACAACCAGATTTAGGTGAACACTTTTGAAGACTCTGAACAAAGTACCTACCGTGTAGATCTTTTATCACCATTTACTATATTTTATTTATTATCTATTATATTTACTTTATTATATTTATTTGTTATATTTATTATTTTATTTTTATTTTAACTATCAATAAAGTTATTTATTTCCATGATTAATAAAAAGGTGAATAATGACTGATGGCCTTAAAAACATGTGAATAATTTATAACTATATATAATTTATGTGCGGAGTTAAAAGTATTATTTTAATGATTAGAACTCCGTTGATATTTGTTTTTTGGTTACGATTGAAGGGAAAAAAAAAAAGTTTTTTTTTATTAGTGATTAATGTTATATATACAGTGGCTTCCAAAAAAACGCACCACTATACTGCTTATTACTAGTCACATGTTTTACGATCAACAATAAATTTGTTTTAATTTAATAT